ATTGCTAAATTTCGGGTGGCCTTCCCCGAAGGACCGTCTTGGCGACGTTACCTACTTGAAACCCATTAACCCCCCGATAGTTTGTGACGACTGAAATATCTTACTTTCCCAGAACTAATAAATAAATGACTACACGTCCCGGCTTTTGTTACACATATAATAGACAATACTGCAAATATGTTTTAGTAATTAGATCCACCAAGGCCTCTTTCTACAGTGTAGGAATGTACCGATGGTCTATCAGAAGTTACGTGAGAGCGATAAAGTAAGTCATAGAAATCCATGTGATAGACAAGGATGGCTGTAATGAAGGCGTCTAATAATCAACGTCCATTTCGCCCTTCCACAAATAAGAAGTGGATCTTATTTGTGGAAAGGCGAAACGGGCGGTGAATGAGACGCCTTCATTATAGCCATCCTTCTCTATCGCATGGATTTCTATGGCTTACTTTATCGCTGTCACGTAACTTCAGATAGACCATCGGTACTTTCCTACCCTGTATGTCAACACATATTTGTTTCATATTATATTTAGAAAATAGTCTAATGCAATATCTCATTAACGTCATACGAGCTGTCAGAATGCTTATATTTTATCCTTAACACCTCTTTTAATTTAGGTATAAATTAAAAAAAAATGCGGTTTTCGCAAATAACTGTTGACCCAGCTATGATTACTACTTTCTGTTCACAATGAACAAAAATATACCACTCCGTGAAATATTACAAATAAAATTGGTCATATGCTCAATTACACTCTCTAATTCTTTGCCTCTACCCTTTACCGTTTAGCAACAATATGTTTTTTTTAACAAATAATATGGTTGTCGTGGATTGGTCAATTCAGAAATTTAACTCAATTATTTAATTTTTGGAAATGTATGTGCAACTATGACCCGTTGCTGGTTATTGAACTGGAAGGCATGAGGGGTGACGTTCGATCACGGTCCTCGATAGGTCTGCAGAGGTTCCGTAGTGAAGTTCGTTTTAAGTCTGAACTATTAGTCCGTCTTGATTTTACCCAACTTTGAAATTTCGCCTACAAAGGTACTAAAAATCGATAACTTCATATTTTTTTGGATAAAATATGCCGCGTGCGAGGTACCCTTAGAATTTATTAATTTAATTTCAAATGTTACGTAATAATTGTTAGCAAAATTCAAATGAATTTACTATTTACACACAATGATGAGAACAACAAGGTCGCTTTTTGAATACAATAAAAAAATGTATTCATTGATTTGTAAAAATCATAATAGACTTTAAAAATCAAATCTGTATACAGGTAGTGCCACTAAATCGTAATAATTGAAATTAATATATTTTAAAATTCAATCGTTACTCCGTAAACTGCAAATCGTTTGAAAATTCAACAGACAATTTGTGTGGGTGTTTTAGGTTTTTAATACAAACTGTTAGTGGTGTTTTCAAGATAGAGGGCGTTAAAATGTTTGAAAAATATCACATTTTATCAATTACCTCCGAAGTTGTTTGATGTGGATTGGCGAAAATTGAGGAAATTATGTAACTAATTAAAGGGAATAATTTGGTACAATTTTGTATACAAGGTGATTTCACTTTAAATACAGAAACTGCAGGAATAATTTTTTTTCTGGGGGACGTGGTATGCAAGATGAAGGGTACTAAAGAGTCCAAAAAAATTTGTATTTTCTCCCCAAGACATAGTTGAAGGTTTTGCATCACACTTCAAGAGTGCATTTCTAAACTCTGACAATGTGCTCCGTTTTCATGAAGATACTTGTGTTGGTGTTACTACTTTAAGGCCTTTTAAAATTGACGGGTGTGATATTAGAAGTGCTGCTAAGAAAATTAAAGCCAATCTAACAACGGGTGCTGATTGTATACCTGCATTTCTTTTAAAAGACTATTTGAGTTGCCTTGAGGCACGATTATGCAAAATATCTAACTTAATATTAAATAAATGTATATTTCCAGAATGCTGGAAAGTTTCCAAAATATGTCCAATTTATAACTCTGGTTCAAAAAGTGTAATTAAAAACTACAGACCTATAGCAATTATCCCGAACATTGCAAAGCTTTCTGAATCTACTGTATCATCTGTTGTGTCCAATCATATCTGCAGGCAAATTAGTAAGAACCAACATGGTTTTATTAAAGGTTGTTCAACATTGACGAATGTTTGTAACTTTACTCAGTATGTTTCGGAAGCTCTTAATAGTAGATCCCAAGTTGATGCAATTTTCACAGATTTTACCAAGACGTTTGATCACGTTAACCACAATATTTTGATAAACTGTGGCAATTTGGATTAGACGAGAATTTGATTAATTTATTTATGTCGTTAATGTTGAATATAATCAATAATTATGTAGAATAATAAAGGATTCAAATCGCAGTTGTCTGTTTCAACAAGTAGTGTTACCCATGGTTCAAATTTAGATCCAATTATGTTTCTCATGTTTGTTGATGATATTGTAAAAGATATAAAGTCTCAAGTATTTTTATATGCAGATGATTAAAAAATGGTGAAAATTATAAATAATGAAGGTGATTGTTATTCCTTTCAGACGGATCTTGATCTTTTGTATTCTTGGTGTCTGGCAAATAATTTAAGTTTAAATATTAGTAAATGTGAAACAATGATTTAGGTCTAATTATGTTTCTCATGTTTGTTGATGACATTGTAAAAGATATAAGGTCTCAAGTATTTTTATATGCAGATGATTTAAAAATTGTGAAAATTATAAATAATGAAGGTGATTGTTATTCGTTTCAGACGGATCTTGATCTTTTGTATTCTTGGTGTCTGGCAAATAATTTAAGTTTAAATATTAGTAAATGTGAAACAATGACCTTCTCAAAGAAAAGAAATGTCATACTGTACGATTATAATATAAATGGTATCTCTATTGAACGAACCTATAAAAAAAGATCTTGGTAGAATTCTGGATCCTCAGATATCATTTTCTCTTAATTATGAACATATTAACAATCAATCTATGAAAATGCTAGGATTTATATTTCAAAATAATAAGCAGTTCTCTAGTATCGATTGTTTAAAGGCTCTATATTATCCATTTGTAAGATGTCGTCTTGAGTACTGTAGTGTCCCTTGCAGTCCACATTATAATGTTCAAATAAAACTGCATGAGCGTATTCAGCGTAAATTTTGTAAATACTTATTTATTATAAAACATAAAAGATATCCAAACCAAAATTATAGTTGCAACGATTTATTAAAAGAGTTTGATATACAACCTTTGTTTATACGCAGAAAAATTGCTAATATAAGATATCTTTACAAACTTGGTGCTAGATATTGTCCGTCCTTTAAATTTAACATTCCTCACAATAATCTATATTTGAAGTCTTCTTTACTTTCTATATGTAGACAGTATAATGAAATGCAAATGTTTGCTGATATCTTTGGTGATAATTATAATTAATTATTTAATTATTTTGCAGTGTGTAAAAGATGCAGTTTTAACTAACTCAATTTTTTAATCTTGAATTATCATGTTCCATTATTGTTTGTATTATTTGCATTCTCGTTATATTTTGTTATTTACTTTGTACTACTAATTTATTAGGTATTAGGTATGTGGTAATCCCATAACTTTTTGTTTGTTACATTTTTAAATTTTATGTATCCTATCTATGGACAATTTTGTCTGTTGAATTTTAATAAACAGTATTATTGTTTTCTGTCATATCTTCATATTGCGCTTAACGATTTGAATTAAATATATTTTTTCCTTCGGAAAATGGGGCGGCACCTCCCAGTAGCACGCCACTGGTTAAAGCCACAAGGTTAATATTACACTCAATGAAAGGTCTAATTAAATGAATACGCTGTAGTAAGCGACTCTGTAGGAAACAAGTTTATTTATTTATTTAAAGTGTCATATTTCTGATAAAAAAAAGATGAATTTAAAATGAAATTACATTGTAAGAATCAATTAAATTAGTTTTGGAATAATTCACCGGAAACTATTCATTCAAGTGGGCCTTGTACTCTGTTTTGCCTAAATTTACTTTGTTCGTCCTGTGGTAAACTTCAAAAAAAGTTGCGCAACTATACATGATCAGATTCATTCAAATAAGGACCAGTAAGATTAATATCTGAGAGTAAGTTTAAACAATGTGTATTAAAAGAAACTGGTGGTAGATATCAGCAATATAGGGTACAATTTTAATACTGGCAGAATTATTATTTACAGGGAATCGATCAGTTTATTTTTCTCATATATAGAAATCTGATTCCGAAGCACTAAATAAAAATACTCTATAAGAAGTGGTATTATCATCTTACCCCTTCCTTCCTTCTATTTCTTTCTACCTTTCTTTTATTTATTTTCAGTCTTGGTATTCAATCTAGGATCATTTAAGTTATCGGGGAAGTAATCCACGTGAAAATGCATAAAGTTCAGTTTTAGGTTATCAAACATCTAAGTTCTCTGAAATTCTCCACCACTTTCACTATGAGAGATTTATAATTGTGACTTTTGTGCTTGTTTAAAAAAGCTTTCTATTGCATTATTGAAGCCTTGCCATCCATTCTTCTCGGTTTCATTCATACTTAACCCATAACATTCACCTTCGTTGTCCAAAGCCTTACCGAATTGTTCCATTGGTCACAAGATTTGTGCGTAGTGGAGGAAGCAGCTCTGTGGATGAACCTCGATAATTTAGTTGGCTATAGAGAAGACCAAGGTGAGCAATTTCGCCAAGATGTAACGGGAAAAGTATCAGGATGAATATGACGGCTGGCTACTGTAGAATTAAAGGTTAGTGGGGACTAGTGCAAAACTGATTTCAGATTCGTGTTTAGCAGGTCAGAAAATATGGAGATAAAGTTACAGGTTCAAGTATATAGACCAGCTTCTATCACATTACGATCCTTAAGCATATTTGCAAATAATAAATTTTTTGGGGATTTGGGTGGCAGGATGTATTGAGGAATTATAAAATTATAGTACAGAATGTTTTTTATTATCTATACATGCAGACATAGTAAATTACAATTCACTAAAATAAACTAAATACGAATTTATCGTATTGTTAACAACTGTTATTATTTCAATTTTTGATATCAAGTACCACAATAGTATACCAAAAACGGCGACGTGAAGAACACTGTTCAGAATCCAAAATCTGAAATAAACAAAAATAATACATAATGGTAATGTTTGTTTCCAGTGCCACTGGAATTACAAAGAGCTACAGATATTTGAACTGAAAATAAATCTATTTTTTGACATAGTGATTATTTTCCCTAGTTTATAAAGGAAAATGCTCTCCAACATTAGAAAATTTCTTACTCTCGATATTGGCCTAGAAGTGGATATATCTAATAATGGCGTGTACTACGGGAACAATTATTACACCCCTATCATGTACAAAGGGTTTAGGCATTAAAAAACAATGATTTTCAGCCCCGTGTGGAATTTTACCAGTGGTTTCTACATTAAATAGCACAAGATCCGGATACTTTTCACGGATGAATGTTGTTTTACAAAAGGTGATATACTAAATTTCCACAACGTTCACTATTGGTGTGATGTAAATTCGTACGAACAGAGATCTTCGGTCGGACGAAGGTCGGATATGAACCCTCTGAACTTTTTTGTTTAGGGGTGTATGAAACAAAATGTGTACTGAACGCCTATTGTCGATGTATCAGTTCAAAAGTATATTTTTGCTGTAGCTAATGAATTTCGATAAATGCCGGGAGTATTTGCACGTATGCGGACTAATTTTTATCGTCGTTTAGAAGCATGTTTATTAGCAAGTTTATTAGCAATTGTAGAAATGTAAATAGATGATGAATAAATTACTTTTGCAGCAATTTATTTTCCAATGATTAGGAACAGTAGGAACAAAATAAAACAGTTCTATACTGAATTTAAAATGACTCCATTATACCTATTCAGTATAATATTTGCAATTTGCTGCAGTAGAACCACTGCTTAAGATAATAACTGAAAAGTTATATATATATATATATATATTTTTTAACTTACATCATGGTGTTCCTTATTCCTTTTTCAATATTGTATTCTTCATCAAACAGTAACTTTGAGGAAGATATCTTTGCTTGGCGCCAAAATGCATATCTACCATCTGAGTTCAATTCAAAATAGTGTCCAAAAGAAAACGTTTGCGTTCCATCCTCATCTACATGTTTCTGTAAAGCCTTCACTTTTGCATTTTTAAATTTCCATGAATTTCTCATAAAATGCGATAACACCGTATTAGCCAAAAGCAATTTCCGCTGAATTTTAAGAATCCTAAAAATTAAATATGAATCATGAACTAGATCGGAGTGGTCAAGCCTTCTTTAATTTCTTTAAAAAAAATAAAGGAAATATACAGGTTCCCTTAAATGACTCAAAAGTACAATGTTCTAAGCCAAAAATTATCTCTATACCAAGTTACTTAATTTAGTCGTTAGATGGCGATACGCGATACATTTTTAGTTCTTTTAAAACTCTTAAATCGGATTCTAATTAAAATTTGTGTGTTATTATTGGTGTACAGGTGCCACTTTTTGACATAGTAACCGAAGTAATTGCATATTCTACGAAATGGGAAATATAACAACTTCAGTTTTTATTTTTCTCTCATTACAATTTTTGTTTTTCGTAAAATTGTTGTACACTTAACTGTTTTTGAGTAGGGGAAAGTAGCCCATTGTGAAACCCATTTTGAAAAAATATTGTAATGCAAAAATTTAAATTTTTCAAATATTATCTAATGGTTTTGTTGAATAATCACGGTGTCTATTTTGAGAAATAAGTATTAAAAATTTATTTTTGCAAATCAGTTTTATTAAATATAATATAATAATAATAATAATATAATAACTAGCTACTGAAAAGAAAACGTCTCCTAATATGAGACTGGACATATACAGGGTGATTCATTAACAGTTGGAAAGTCGAAAGCGGAAGATACTACACGTGAAATGGTGACCATTGGCGCAAACATGCCTTATCCGAAAGTTGATAGTTTCGGAAATACAGGGTGTTGAAAGTTAAAATTTTAAATCGTTTTCTTGCGATTATTCTGAAAACGTGTAGGTTAGGAACTTGAAAATTTGTGAAACTATATTTTTTTAGGTGACGAATAGGATGCGTGTTGTAATTTCAGCATTGCTCGTTGAGGGCGACACTTACGACCGATTTTACCGAAAATTTAGTTAATAACTTTTTACCCTGTATGTCTAACATGAAACTTGATTCAAAACCTGAAAGAGCAATCATTTTGCCATTAATTGTGTATTCTTGTTTCATTTCGGTATCTCGATCCGTTTTCGAGAAAAATCGATTTAACGAACATTATGTTCTGATAATACGAGTCAGTGTTCGAAGAATCCACCTTGACATTTACACACTATACACAACGTTTTCTGAGAGATCTTCGAGTTTAAAACAACATATTGGGATTGCGTTTGACTCCGTTGGCAGCGATTTGTATTCTTTGCCACAACTCTTCACACGAAGCAATAATTAAAATAAATAAATTTCTAAATAATGGATATTTTCATCCTGTCTGTTTGTAACAGTAAATAATCGTAGAATATTTGTGTTTGTTTGCGGAATTTTTACAACTATACAGGGTGGTCCGTAAGTAATGGTCCATAGAGACATACTAGATTTTTTACTTCACAATATTACGATTGGAGCCAATATGCCTTAATAAAATGTTGATAACAAAAAAGATACAGGTTGTCAAAGTTGGAAATTAAAAATTGAATTTTCGTAATAATTATAATATTTTTGAGTGTATGAACGTGAAAATTTAGGGGTAGATGTTTTTGTATACGAGAAATCATAATTTGTTATCTATTTCGATGTATCTTCTAGAGGGCGCCACATACGCCGTGTTTATGACGTAAATACGAGCATAATTTTTTTATCCACAACGTTAACGCTTCTTTTTTTTAAAAATCTTAAACCTACATTATTTTCGTGAAAAAATGGTATACTTGTCATTAGCTCTAGAAATTGTCCGTTTTCAAGAAAAACGCATTTCAACAATCTGCTGCATGTTTCATTACAGGAAATTTTATCGTAGTGTGCACTAATGAAAACATTAATTTTGACAATTAAACATTATCCCTTTGTACACATTAAAATACAAATTATCAAGTTGATAAATTTTACATACAAAACCAGTTAACCCATTAACCGCCAAGCATTGAATTTGTGGTTAATAAATAAAATCAGTGGCTTTATCTGAGTATTTGTACGCTACTGAACGAACTTTAAGAAAAAAAATTAAAATATGTATAGCGGATTGGAAAAAAATAATGTTGCGATTTCGCATCAACAGCCAAATGTGTTTAAAAGTTTTGTATATATTTGGTTACATTTTTACATGAAGTTTACAACAATAATTTATGAAATGACGCGAAACAGTTCGAGTGCAGGTGGACTTTGCACTTCTGGCACATAAACACCGTTTGGCTTTTGCATAATCTGCAGCGTTTTCTCCTTTTTTCCGTATGCCGAATGATGGTATGCCCAACCCTGTCTTTCCGTATTTCATCTGGTTCTTCCATGCCTTATTGTTGATGTATTTGGTTCATTGTCCGCATCAGTCAAATTTGTGTCTTCACATTTTATGAGAGCCATAACCAAATACGATCTGACTTCTAGTTGCGTCGTTTTGGGAGAGTTTAGTCTACATAATTTCCAAACATTTACAATGACACTATCCACAGTATTTATAAATAAAGGCCACCACCATTTTTTTCCACGTACTCTAATGCGGTAGTTCGCTATACCGTTATCATGCAAATCAACGCCGCCCATATACTTATTGTATTCTTTTATCACCAGTGGTTGAGTTACATTCACTTCTTTTTTTTGCTTTCTGTCATATCGTTTTACAGACTGAATGGGATTTACGGCAATATTGTTTGTAATAAGAGTTACAACGGAGTTATCATTCCACCTCACAACACACGAGTTAGATTTCGAATCAAATCTAAAGTCAAAAGATCCTCTTTCTTTCTTTTTTATAGCATTTTTTGATTCTAATTTACAATTGATAATACGATTATCACGTATGGTACCCGTGGCATAAATATTTTTTTCTCGAAGAAAAGAAAATAGTTTGTAGGAAGAAAAAAAGTTGTCGAAGAATATCCTATGGAAAGCCGGATTTTCAACAACTTTTAGCAAACTGACAACAACATCTGCCCCGAGACCCATTTCCGTTTTTTCTTCCCTAGCTCCGCCGTATGGCATAAACTGAAATAAATACCCATCTTCAGAACAGAGGCACCACAGTTTGAAACCGAAACGCACCGGTTTTCCCTTTAGAAACATTTTAGCAGAGTGTCTACCAAAGTAAGGTACCATTTCTTCGTCAATGGAGAGATTATGTGCGTATAACCCAAATTGTAAATTTTTCTTATTTATGGCATCAAACAGTGGACGCAGTTTCGCAAATTTATCATTTTTATCTAGCTTAGCGTTATCACAAAGATGCAGGTTTCTTTTTATATTCCGAAATTTGTTTCTACTCATACAGTTTTTTACAAGTGGCACACCCTTGTCTTCATCTCTACTCCAGTACATTTCTAACTGTGGTAGAGTGTGGTATCCAGAAAGAATTAAAATTCCTATAAATCTCTTCAAATCTGATAATGTTATAGAGAAATCATGTATATTATTGTCTTTAGCATATTTTTCCGAAAAATGTCGTATTTCATTTAGTAAACCCTCATCGAAAAACATGAAAAAAATATCCAAAGGCGATTTATCAGCTAATAATTCCGCTAGATTCTTTTTGTTGTCTTCCTCGTTTGATACTGGTAAATTGTCGTATTTTGGGTGTTTTTTTCTCCAGTTTGGGGCATAGACAGTATTTTGTTTAGGCGCACGTTTGCCTTTAGGTGCCTCAACACAAATGTCGTTTTCCATTTCAGGAACTAATAACTCGAATGTACCAGCTACATCTTGAGGTACAATATCCCCTAAAGAATATATTTTTGTATTATATTTATTGTTCGTCCCTATAAAGTGAAAACTTACCTAGCAAAATATTTTCGTCTATATCTTCCTCGTCCGTAAGTTCATCAACGGGGGGAGGTATAATTACGGCATCAATCTCATTTTCGAGATCTAAATCCTCTAACTCGGCTTCCAATTCTTGAAGAGTTAGAGCACGATGACGCTCGTAATTTTCACTCCACATGGTTTATTACACTTTCCGATATTTTTAAACGTACTGATTTTACACTAAGTTATTATAGGTTATCATCAAAAGATGCTCTAAATTGCAACTGGCATGAACAAGCCTGTGCACGTCGGCCGACAGCGCGTGTTGTTACACCCCACTACTTTCGGTCAAATTTTTATCCTATTACGCCGTTGATGCGAAAACGCAACTTTAAGTTTTAGCGGTTGTAACTTTTTTGATAATAAAAGTGTCATATATTTTTTTAATTTATAGTAACAAGCGATAATTCCTTCGAAATATGTCAACACTACAAAGATGTATATTATGAAATAAAATAGTTAGCAGCTTTGCTGTATTAGACTGACAAAACCCCAAAACTATGCAAACTTTGAAAGTGCAAAATCAACCAAAAACTTCACTTATTTTTTATGAAAAACATAGTCTGCTATAAATAAATGTAAGCAAATATGAAATAACAAAATTCATCAAAAATATACTTCTCTGATTTTTGTGAAAAAAATTATAAATAAAACGTTGCGTTTTCGCAACAACAGGGTTTAATGGGTTAAAGGAGAAATTTAATTAAACAAAACTATGATTTTATCAGGCGTTTAACAAGTAAAAAACTGAATATATACCTAAGAAAAAATAGGAAATGTTTCAAAGTAAATTTTCAATATGTCCACCATTCACCTCGATGCACTTGTCCATACGATTTATGAAAGATCGTCTAATATTAAATAATACCATTGGATCAAAAAAAGTTGAGGCATTACTAATTTCTTGCCAAAGTTGGACGCGAGTATTTATAGTGTTTTTATAAACAATTTCCTTCATTGTGCCCCATACACCAAAATCTAAAGGGTTGAAGTCTGGACTACGTGGCGGCCAAGGAAATATACTACCACGGCCAATCCAACGTTCAGGAAAGTGTTGGTTTAGATATGTTCTTACTTGATGAGTAAAATGTGGCGGAGCGCCATCTTGCATGAACCACATATTTTGCCTCAAATTCAGTGGTAACGCATCCAATAGATCAACAAAGCTATCTTCTAAAAAATTTAAATAACTTGTACCATTTAAATTTCCTGGCAAC